CAGGCGGATCTCTGTGAGTTCGAGGCCAGCCTGGGCTACCAAGTGAGTTCCAGGAAAGGCGCAAAGCTACCCAGAGAAACCCTGTCTCGAAAAATCAAAAAAAAAAAAAAAAAGAAAAAAGAAAAACAAGATGGAAATTTCTTCTAAAATTAAACACAGTATTAGCATGTGACCAAGCTATTCCACATCTGTTTGTTTGCCTAGAACTGAAGACAGTCTTGGGATTTTAGCAACCAAGTTTCTAACAGCACTATTACAATCAAATATCAAAGCAATACACGTATACATATGAATATGCACACACTCAAACACATACACATTCACACACCAACAGACACACTTGTACACAAAACTCATATATGCAATATGCACACTCATACACACAAACGCACATGAACTCAGGCATATAGACACAAGCATGCACAAACAGATATTCACACAAGCACACATATACATATTTACACACAAAAATAACAACACACAAGCATGCATACACATGCACAGACAAGAACACACACGTGCACACATACATAAAGGAATGCATTTGCACACACACAAATACATTCACATATAGACACACACATACATACACACATAATGCACACATACACATACCTACAACATACAGACACACATATGCACACACTCACATTAATATACATATACTAATGCACATACATATGAATGTACACACATGCACATGTGCACACACTCATATAGTCATGCACATGCATACACATGTTTTATTAACTCATATGATCACACATGAAAATACACACACAGGATCACCTAGAAATACATACAAAAGAATATGCATGCACGCATACACACAAATATACAAACTCATACAATGCACACAGATGTGCATGCACATATATACCTATGAATAAAAACATGTGCATACACATATACACGTATAGAAACGTGTGTATATATAAACACAAAATACTCATATGCACACATAAACACAGTGTTTGTCTTAGTCTGGGTTTCTATTGCTACGACAAAAACACTGTGACAAAAGCAAGTTGGGGAGGAAAGGGTTTATTTGGCTCACACTTCAGCATTGCTGTCCATCACTGAAGGAAGTCAGGACAGGAACTCAAACAGAGCAGGATCCTGGAGGCAGGAGCTGATGCAGAGGCCAAGGAGAGGAGCCGCTTACTGGCTTGCTTCCCCTGACTTGCACAGCTGTTTCCTTATAGAGCCCAGGAGCAACGACTCAGGGATGGCACCACCCAAAGTAGGCCTCACACGTCAATCACTAATTTAGAAAATGCCTCACAGGCTTACCTGCCGGCCAATTTGATGGAAGCATCTTTTTTTTTTTTTTTTTTTTTTTAACTCAAAACATATTTATTTACTGACTAGGATTTCAGAGTTTTACTAACAACATCATCTGTTTTGTTGTTGTTGTTGTTATTTTTTGAGGGGGGAGAATCTATTTTAAATGGTTGTAGAAAGACAGGTACATTACATTGATGGAATATGCAATCTCATAAAAGTCTGTAAATCCTACTGAGCCTAGCACCTTTCATTTCTTTATTTCTTTCCTTCCTTCCTTCCTTCCTTCCTTCCTTCCTTCCTTCCTTCCTTCCTTCCTTCCTTCCTTCCTTCCTT